CACGAGCAAAGCTCGTTGGTGTGCATCCGACATGGTGCCCGACGAGAACGAGTTCAAGATGTCCCGGATGGTAACGCGAACCCCACCAATGTATCAAGAACCCATCTGGTCATTCGTCTCGCGAATATCAACCCGAGTAAGAAGACGATAGAAATCGTCCGTGTATTCATCAACCGGGGGAGTCCTTTTACGCAAATTTTGTAATTGTAGTTTATAATTTTTGTTTTTGTATGTGAATTTAAAGAAAATGGCTTAAGAAATAGAAGGAATTTTGGTAAAAAGAATAAAGTCGAGGCACGTAAGATACGCTCTCCTTAAGACGAAATAGCCTCGTATTTTACCCACGGTTCACGGCTAACGCCTCCAAGATACAACGACTTTTTATTTGTGTATAGTGGTAACTCAAATACACAAACCTTCGGCGAACAATACTTAAGGTTCGGAACTCTCAAGATAGGAAAGAACACAAAGAACACAAGATGAATATGAACTTTGTAAAAAGGATGCAAAAGTTATGGAATTATTTGATGATTTTAAATGATTTCATGTTAGTGGGTATTTATAGATGTAAGGAGACACCTCCAAGAGGTTTAAGTGTCAAAAGACACCTTTTGGGACGTGCCCGAACAAGAACGGATGTATCTAGTGGCCAAAAGATACCTTATGGTCACCAAGGGTTGCAACCCTTCGATTTCCGCAGCCAGTAGTGCGCCCGTGCGCCGCGGGCTCGTACGAGCTCATACAGACTCGGAATCGAGTTCCGTTTTTTCCTACTTGTCCCAACGAGCCCCTCTACAATTCTAGCATACATAATGCATATTTATGGATCGTTTAGTTTATCCAAACATTTAATAAAATATAATGTTTGTGAACCCTACAACCTTTTGAGTTGTTTAAACTCAATTAATTAAAATACAACACTTAGAATTAATTTCTCATTCACCTTAAAAAGGTTTTGAGACTTTTCTAAGTATTCTACTTACGAAAAATAGAATCGTTAAATCGGTATAAAACCAATTTTTTCTTACAATCCCCCACATGAATGAAATTAATGCATGTATGCAATACTTGAGAGTTCCGACAAACCATCATTGCATCAGGATAGATAGCTTGTGGCTTTGAATCTTCCTTAGTGAAATACTATCGGATACACTAGCCGGTTAGTAGCGCGATGCTTTGAACTTATCGGTTGTTTGCGTGCACCAACACAATAATACTCACACAATAACAGCTCTAATAATTTCTTGTTCTCACGTTGTGTCCATTTCGGCCTTGGACCATATCTCGGTTTAGTAAGTGTTCGTTGAAGCGGCCAATTTACTTCTCACTTACAAAAGTGATTCTCCTATAAAGAGTATTCTGCCTTACTCCACCCGTAGGTTTAGGAATCATTAAAAGTCCTTGACTTAACCTCACCACTTAGGCAGATTTTAACACTTGACGGTTCTTGGGAATGGGTGAAACTTTCAAGTGTTTCACTGAACTGTCAAAACTTAGTTTTTCCATTGAACCAAGGTTTCGAGATCTCCGATTCTCAAGGTTGGGTTACCGCTAAGACTGTTTTTATGTTGTGGATTTTAATCCCATTCCCCTAACCAACTTGTACATTTGATCTCGATTAATGTCTTAAGTAAGCAGATCCGCTAGGTTTTCCTTTGACTTCACGTAGTCAACCGAAATAACCCCACTCGAGATCATTTGTCTTATTGTATTTTGCCTTCGACGTATATGTTGAGACTTACCATTGTACAAGCTACTTTGT